GGTTGAAAACACGGTCTGGTCGATGCAAGCCTTGCGTCGGCGATGCAGCCGAGATGCTTGCAAGCTTCGGTGTTCCTGGCGGTCCGCACCCCCACGCAAAGCCGACGGCGGTGAGGTTGTGGTGGACGCAAGCCACAGCGTTTTCAGTAGTCACTTGAACATCCTTCACCTAGCACGCAATAGTTGTGCACATCGCACAAAATCGCCTTACAGCAGGCACTACGGCGGAATTGTGGCTCCCTAAAGCTGCGAGCGGAAGCGGGAGCGCAAAGTCTGAAACCCCTGTCCAGTCTAAAAACTGGGTCCTGTGTAGAGACGCGTCAGGGCAAAAAGTTTGAATCTATTCGAGGTGTCGTGAAGCCGCCCAGATGTTGCGGCTCAATCTGGGCGTCGTGGCACGCACCACCAGCCCGCGACGTACACAACACAATGCAAGCCGCAGCCTCCTTTTGCCCACCCACGTTTACCAAAGCACAGGCTATCAGCTTGCGACTCCCGACTCATAATCCACCATGTCTAGACCCTCCGAAAAAAATAGGGGCCCTAATCCGACTTTTTTTTTGGCACCATGCTCAAGGTTCTACGCATGTGCCCACAAAAAGGATTGAGCTGGTGCTTTATAAATACTTGAACACCACTTCCTCTGCTTCTCTCATCCACGTATTCTTACATTCCCATTCCAATCTCACATTTCTTCATCATGCCTCCTCAAGTACCCAGAAACTTGCTGCGCGCCGCCCGCGCCCGCGCTGTTTTCCAATCCACCAGGCCCTCCCGTCCTGCTGCTGTTAGGTTCCAGAGCTCTGAGGCTGTCCGCCGGACACCTGAAAGCAACAACGTCTACAATGCTCCTCCCAGGGCATTCTCTCAACGCAAAGAGGAGAAGTTTGCCGCTGGAACTGCTTCCACATCGCAGCGCCAAACACCGGCAGCACCCGTCAAGCTCAACAGCAAGAACCTCTCGCAACTCCAGAACGTCACCGTCCCCACTTACCAGCGTGAGGGTGTCAAGCAAGGTATTGTCCACGTCGGTGTTGGTGGTTTCCACAGGGCCCATCTTGCAGCCTACGTCGACACTCTCCTTGAGCAATTCAACGTCCAGGACTGGTCTATCTGCGGTGTTGACCTACAGCCATTCGCTGCTCCCATGCGCGATGCCCTGAAGCCTCAAGACAACCTCTACACCATCATCGAGCGCGCCGCAGAGGGTACCACTGCCCGTGTTTGCGGTAGTATCACCGATTACCTCTTTGCTCCCGACAGCAGCGAGGCTGTTATTGCCAAGATGGCTCACCCCGACACCCACATCGTTTCCATGACTGTTACCGAGAGCGGTTACTACATGAACGAGAACACCCACCAGCTCCAGACCGACCACCCTGATGTTGCCGCCGATCTGGCCGGTGAGCAGCCGCCACGGACCGTCTTCGGTTACCTCTACGCCGCCATGGAGAGGCGCCATGCCGCCGGTCTCCGACCATTCACCGTTCTCTCCTGTGACAACATGCAGAAGAACGGTGATATTAGCCGCAACATGTTGGTTTCTTTCGCTCGTCACCAGAACCCTGAGGTCGCCGACTGGATTGCCAACAGTGGTGCTTTCCCCAACTCCATGGTCGACCGAATTACTCCCCGTACCAACGACGAGGACAAGGTCAGCCTGGCCGAGAACTTTGGTGTTGAGGACGCATGGCCCGTTGTCACCGAGCCCTTCCACCAATGGGTTCTCGAGGACAAGTTCGTCGACGGCCGCCCACCTTTCGAGAAGGCCGGTGTTCAGATCGTTCCTGATGTGCACAAGGTTGAGGAGTACGAGATGATCAAGCTACGTCTCCTCAACGGTAGCCACTCCGCCATGGGATACGCTGGTCAGCTCGCAGGCTTCACCTACATCCACGAAGTCATCGGCCACCCTGTCTACCGCCAATTCGTCATCAACATGATGCACCAAGAAGTCAAGCCTCTTCTTCCTCAGATCCCCGGTGTCAGCGTCGACGATTACTGCAACACCCTCCTAGGCCGCTTCTCCAACCCCACCCTGAAGGACGAGCTTCCCCGTATCTGCCTTGGCGGCAGCGGCAAGATTCCTCAGTTCATCATGCCCAGCATCGCTGAGCAGATTGTCGCTGGTGGACCTCTCCGCCGCCTCACTCTCGTAGCTGCCGCTTGGTTCCGCTACAACAGCGGCATCGACGACGCTGGCAAGGCCTTCAAGGTTGACGATCCCATGGTCGAGGAGCTCCAGGCCAAGGCCGCAGAGGGCCCCATGGCTCAGCTTGAGATCAAGACCCTCTTCGGTAACGATCTCCGCGAGGACAAGCGTTTCGTGTCTGAGCTTAAGAGTGCATTGGAGGGCTTGGAGCGCGAAGGTGCTTTGGCTATGATTGAGAAGTACGCTTAAGTGTGCGTTTAGAGAAAAGAGATACCCCTGGGCGACAAGCGTTGCGTCGCCATACTAGACTTTGTGTCTTCTTTGGATTGTTTCATGCAAAGAATATAGATCATAGATGTTTGGAATTTTGCTGCATTGGCGTTGACCTCAAAAGAAAGTGTTATAGCAAGCGGTTTTTACATAGCGTTTTAATCATACCATTTGATCGTTCATACTGTCTTCTCCTGTTGCCATCATTGAATACCTGGGAATGTGCTCATCTCTTCTCCACCATCACATGTGCTGAGGCAAGCAACACAATCTTGTTCCTATATGGGCGCCTTCCTAAACCCTCAAAGTACAGGTGAAGCCGCGGAGACAGATGACGTCATTATGTTCACCGTATCATTGTCGGTGACACCGTGCTCAGTTGCGTCGCTGCACCTGCAGCCTTATCTTCACGCTACCCTTTCTCAACACGAAACTTGTTGTTACGGCATGCATCATCGACTGATTCCTGCAGCTCTTCTGCCTTTCCTAGAAGACCGATTTTCAAGGACAAGTTTCCTGCTCGTACCCACTGTCTTTGCAAAGATTACACATATTCGCCTTTGTGGGGCAACTGCAGCGAGATGGAGTGGAGTTCGCGTACTGTAGCTGCTTCCTTCAAACTGGGACAGGACCCAGAATTTTGGACCTTGCGTTGACACGCTAATGTAGAGGTCCCACTGCGCGACTCACTAGAATTTCTCCAGCAGATCTTGCCGCTTCTAGTTTCCTCCACCTTGCCGAGTTGCGCCACTCAAGATACCTAGGTACATGTGTTCAGCCTTCCCTTTTGGTCCTGGTGCCTCCGCGTTATGACGAGTCTGCTTCTGGATGGTATGCTTTGTATACCTGCACGGCACCCTCAACACTTTGCACTAGCCCGAAGAACAGAGTAAGACCAATCGCCACTATCGCTATCCATGAGTTAAGCCAGTGGTCGCCTCTTTTACTATCCTTCAGCGCTTGCAGTAACGCCTTGGAGGTTGGCGTGGCTTCCTCTACAGCTTCCCCTAGCAGGACCAGTCGATCGCGCCAGAACTGGAATCGCTCAAGACGTCTCGAAGGATGTCCTTGCCGGAAGTGACCACATTTTGCCAAGGTGCTGTCTACCGGCGTCTGCGCTGAATTCGCTCGACCTTTCTCTGAAAACCATTGTTTCGTTTTGCGATCCGACTCTGGGAACAACAGAGCGAGTGTATCCAAAGTTTCTTCGATAAGACCGTCCGGGAAGATCGGACTATGCAACTCTACAGTCAGCATCGCTACTTGCCAACCCAACAATATATACATACCTTTCTGTGGCTATCATCTTTCTAAGAAACGATGCATGATGGAACACACACAGCTTTTTGTCTCCTTTGACAAGTCGCAAATGATCGAGCAAGTTATCAATCAGTAGTACCTCGATGCCCGACATTCGCTCAATGCTATAGCACGTGAGGTCCGACCCGATGACATCATTCTCGGGATCAACTTCGATATCTGGAGGTTGGCTGAAATATTCATGTACTGCATCTGGAAATGAGCAGCCTTGGTTCCAAGGCAAGGAATGTTTCGCGGATATCTCGGAGGAAAGTGGTCCGATGCTGATCATCGCAAATATACGAGTCGCTAATTTCAAAGAACCGTCCAACATCTTCTTCTCATCCGACATTGATCTTTGCGTCGTGAGTGTTTGGCGGAGTTTTTTCTGATTTCTTCCTCGTCGTTTGCGTCTTCCAGCAAGTGTGCGATCTGCACAAGTCCTGCATGCGTTCTCGCGCACAGATGGGTGCCTTCTTCAGTCAGGGCTGCGGCGCACTCCCGAGTATAGTATCCAAAGTATGCATCCCATACGAAATGGAATCTTCTCAATGACACTCTTCCTCCATCTCGCCATAGATGTTGCACAATCTCCGCTCCAGCCTGGGACGTAACGGGGTTCTGTAAGACTCCATCAAGTGGGCCAGCGAGTACCGACATTTGCGGCAGATCAGTTGTTTCACTCTCAATAACAGGCTTATATCCATTTATATGAGAGGCTGATTTATAGATTGCCAGCTCACAAGGCTCCGCACCGCCTTCTTCGTGGGCTTGCATCCTTCACCGGTCAAGCTTGCGCGATCTCTAATAGCAGTGCCCCTCAACGCCTCCACGTGGCTGAGCCTCGTCACTCAAATGAACGCAAACCCCTCACTTCATGTCTTCGATTTCTTCCTAAACCTTCCGCGTATGTTGCAGCTATTCTTGTTTCCATCTCCTTTCAATTTGCATCGTGTTGCAACCCCAATGCCGATGCCACGTTCGCACCTGTGCGGGGTGTGAGGTCAATATGGACGAACGATATCTCAGTCGTACCAGATTCTGGAAGCCTACACCAAAACCTTATCCAAGCTTCTGCGCGTGTATCGGAACGGAAATCGGTATCTTCCACAACAGATACTGGTGGCATGCTGCAGGATCGGCTAGATAGCAGTTTAGCCTCGTCAAGTCAGAGATCTTGGATCAACTCAACAACGTCTTTACAGATCAATACTCGAGCATTGTAGTCTTCCATCTGTACATGATAGGATATTCGGCGGAGTCAGCAATACCTACAATTATGTTCTTTTGCGAGGAGAAGGAACCGCGCAAGATCGCAAAGAAGACTATCGATGAAGGGGGTCTTCTAAAGAATCTCGCTGGGTTCAGAACTGGACACCTCGATAGGATACCTAGGGTAGGGAGGTTGATACAGCCTGCAGCCCGACAGGAAGAAGCTCAACAGTCGAGCGAATCTGGCTCAGTACCCGAAGTCTACTTCGATCCCTCAAATCCTATCAAGGCGATTGGGATGCCAATATTCATCAAACAGGCCGATAGTACTCTACGGAAAGCAACAGCTAATGCTGTCTTCGATGGCCAAAGATGTGTCTACCTGTCCGTCTCACATGTATTCTTTAACGACACATTGCCACCACCAGCCCGATCAATTGCACTCGAAAACGAATTTAATTTTGGAAGTGGAACTGAGGATGAAGATGAAGAAGAGTGTCGGGATGCAACATCATGCGCGAGTGTTAGCTCATTTGAGGAAAGTGCAGACGATCAGCCGAAATCGCTAACTTCCAAGTCTAATTCCTCAACAATGTCGCCCGTACCCTCAACCCCGAACAATCAAGACTTCCCAGACATGGCAAGCTTGGTACTTTTGGGCCAGCTGACAACATTTTCTGTAGATCTGGATTGGGCTGTAATCGATATCCATCACAGCGGGGTCCATTCTGCCGTCTATGAGCTCAAAACGAACATACAGAGTGAACGTGTTCAAGAGAAGTTGATATCCAAAACCGAGAGTGTAAATATTGTTGCGGAAACTTCCCGAGGCCCTATCAACGGACAATTATCTCATATGGCAATTTACATGCGACTTCCAAATGCTACCTGTTTTCAAGAAGTCTACCAAGTCACATTGGACTCTGCTCTTGAATGGGGGGATTGTGGAGTTCAGATCTTGAACACCGTGACTGAGCAGCCCTACGGTCACGTCGTTGTGAGTTCTGCAACAAAAAAGGTTGCATATATCGTACCAGCAACCCCCGTCTTCCAAAAATCTGGAACCCGATAGGGACATTTCAGCAGACAACGGCCACAATTCAGCAGACAATGGCCAGAATCGTTCAGCCATAGAAGAAAGCCTCAAGAACTCTATCCATGGATGGAACCACTGCAAGAACTCCCAACCCGACAAGATGGTATCGAACTACTCATGCAATGTTATGACAACGACATAATACCCCCTCACGTAGAGGCTGTACTAAAATAATGCCACGATGTTAGCGCAAGTGTTTTCGGAGACACAAGAAATATGAACCAGGGCGACGCGTGGCTAGATGACAGGGCTGTTCCGCCTGCTCCGATACTTGTCAGTACAAGCAATACGACAACATCGAACGCTATACCTACATCACAGCCAAATGTTGGATCTTGTCATAATATCATAGAACGTGATATTACTGACGTCCACGAAAGACGCCCACTGGCTTCAACACAAAGTGCCGCGCGCAAAGCCAGAGGATATAATAAACGTCTAACAGCATGGGATTTAAAGAGTCATCTTCGCGAAAGACGCTTTAACCATGATCTTCTGGAGGATGCAGACCGGCGACTGATATATATCGCAAATCCATCTCCAGACCACATGCTCGCTTTAACCGAAACCACGACCGAGCATCAAGCACTTGCAATCCAGGATCTGTTAAGACATTACGTCACATTCCAAACATCCCTAGAGGTCAAAATCTCTACGGAAGGGTACCACATCTTTCAACTCGAACATCACTTTCCCTACTTTACATTACAGAGGACGATACCAGAAGACTTACGCAAGCCTGGAAGTAAAACATCGACCCGAAAACTAGGCACCGATCTCTCTTTCCTCAACTCAAGGGACGGACTAGGTACATATAGGATGTATCAAGCGCAATCTTCGTTCACCGTCTGTGGTTCCGATAACACCCGTTGGATTGCGTATAATCTAGAGGACACTGGCTTCAACTCTGACCGTGAGATCGGCGACGATGAACGCGATAATTACGGATGGAGGGATCAAATATCCATGGGAAAGTTCGACACAAACGTGCCTTTAACCGACGCTCGGGACTATTACCTAGCCATTAGCCTCATAAAAGCGAAGCATGCTCGAAATGAGATCCAGCGGGTCATCGAGAGAGTAGAAGCTTCGTTCAGAAACCACATGACCAACCGCCCATTTTCCGCTACCTCTGCCACCGAGCAGTCTGCCATCTCGAAGTGGAACGAGGCCATGCTAGGCCTTCTGGCCATGTTGATCCAAGATCTCGAAGATAAAGTCGATTGCTGGGTCAACTTCCAGCGTTGGGATCTCGATTGCTTCAACGACCCAAATGCGACGTTGCTACCCCATGTCTTTGAAAATATCGTAAATAACTCAATTGAGTTACAAAATGTGTATGAAGAGTTAAGGGCATACGGAAAGAAGCTCGCTTGCTTCCAAGAAGCTTCCAAGAGGCTTGCTTGTCAGCTAGACTATCGTCTTAGCTTGCAGGGCAGCAAAATCGGCGAATTCACTATTGTTATCGTTTCTCCTATAATTATTGTCTCTAATATTTTTGCTACTCCTAACATCGTACTACCTCATGAACGAAGCGGTCTCTCTTTCTTCTTATCAGTTGCTGCAGTCGCATTGCTGTTGTGGTTCCTATTACTCTTGAAAGGAAGCTGGTTTGATCGACAGGGCTGGTGGGAGAAGCTGTCGCGAAGAGGCCGAACAGCGAGGAGACGTCAAAATAGTAGTATTGGCCCTGTAAAGAACGGCGAGCTAAGCGTGCTGCGACGAAGAGATATGCATGCGGGTTTGACAGGGAATCGCAAATAAGGCGACGTCGGACCGCGAACGCGCGTTGTAAACTCACAAAGCTCCGCACAATAATGAAATACAAATCATGCAATGCCGACTTCAGACTCGTTTTGAGACAATCAAACCTGAAAAGGTAAAAAATGATGATAGCAACACTTGGATCGTTAGGTCACTCAGATGTATCACTCCATCTCCATTTACAATTGCGTGGAGGTTGAAGGCTGTTAGAACCTTGCCGCACCTGAAAAGTACGTATATGGCGCGAGGTTTGATACAGTTGCTAGAAGTAGAGTTGATGAACTTTGTAGTCGACAGCCAGTACCAAGTGTAGCAGACTTTCCGATGTCCTTCCACCCCGCCACATCGTATCAAAATGATCATCTCTTCAACCTTGTCGATATCCAGTTCCTTTCTCCACAGTACACCGTGATCATCAATACCGAAGTCAAATTTTCCGTACGAACCCCTACTGCAATCCAGCTGAAAAGAATTCACTTGCTTCTCCCAACCCTCTCCCCTCGTAGATTCCCCGCCATCTTCAGCCTCTTCCCCAATGTCTCTCCACCTGGGCGGTCTCTCGTCCAGCCACAACAACACCCCATGCAGACAGTCCCTTTGGCTTGGTTTTTTTCCTCCCATCACACTGGTTCACACCTGGCGCATCGAAACACGATTTCGTATCTCTTGTAGTCCCTGATAGCAATGACACAGCTAGCCTCGTCCGTGAGATCTACTTTGAGATCATTCTTCCACATGACGTCTTTCTCGCCTTTGTTGACGTTAGAAACACGCGGGCCAGTTGGATCTCGTAGATGAAGACTCCGAAAAGACTTGTTTCTGTTTGTTTGATGCACAGACTTGATACAGATGCAGCGTAAGTAGCAGAATACTGCAACAAACACCAGCCTTTCATCATCAGCAGACGTCACACAGCGATCGTTACTTTCAGCCTCAGTTGCGTCCATCATAGCATGCGAGCTTGGTGTACCTTATCCTTTACGACTCACCAGACCCTGATGGATCACATGTACTACTAAAAGACACTCAAAGATGATCTGAACGGTAGGCATCAGCATATTTGTTGGACTGTGCGTCCGCTGGCATTGTGATTCCACCGTTACTCACAGCTCTACGACTGCTCAGCGATGCCATGATCTTCTCTTGGACTCGAAACATGCGGGTCCCGTGTCACCCAAAAAGGCTCATGCATAGAGAGGTCTGGATTCTCAAACATGACTGCGTAGCACGTGGTCATCGCACACGTGTTAGTGACTGGTGTTGTTCCTGTTGTCACTTGCATACAACGTAATGACCTGAGTTTTGCCTGAAAACCACGCTGGTACCTTATATTCACACGGGATATTCCCCTACCCTAGACATACCAAGAAATAGAAAAGGGTATCACTGCGCCAATTATCATACAAAAGCGTTCAATCGTACGTGCACATCCGAAACGCCATATCCAAAATAGTCTCAACATCCCACCGCATCTTCTCTACGAAGGTGTCATCTTGACAACTCCAAACCCATCGTCTTTCGGCGTCGCCCTCCCGCCACCGACCATGAACGTTCCGCTGCCCTTTTCATCAAACCAGCGACTACTCCTATGCCAGCTAGGGAGATTTTCAGGGTCTTCGTCTTCATTCACGCAGCCTCTTCTGCAGCCTCCATTTTGCCGCCATTGCGTACCTGCCCACTTCATACAACGTGCGTACTCCGCGCATCGACCAGCCCGTCGTTTCTTCTGCTGCGAGAAGTCCGTAAGAGTTTGCCGAGGTGTGAGACGACGAAGGGTTATGACGGCGTGCGCGCAGAGATCGGGTATAGGGAGAGGCAAATGAGTAAGCGCGAGCGCGGTCGTTTCGAGCGATTCGAGACTGTAGAGGAGCTCTTCTGGCGCCGCAAGGAGGAATGATACGGGCTGTTGTACTACAAGAGAATTTGAGATGAGACTTGACGCTTTCCGCCTGAGCAGGCGCCTAGGTCCGGTTTCTAGCTCTTTTCGTTGCTCCGGTTCGATAGTCGGGACTATCGGCGTGACTGCTCTGACCATCGCATCGTCCAGTTCCTCAAGCGCTCCGATCGCGGCACCGTCTACTTCCCACTCCAGTACTTCCTTCTCACAGCCTGCCATGCCCATGTAGACCAAGTCTTTCAACTCCATTAGCAGCTCGAAGATCATACGTTGTGGTACAGGTCGCTGTTCGAAGAGCGTTTGTATTGGTGGGAGGAATCTTTGTGCTATCTCGCCCCCCGTGTATAGGTTCTTTCCGTGTGCAAAAGGGGCGTTGTCGGCCATCTGTAATTCGATCTTTGACATTTGCCGCGAAAGGCCAGCGGCAAGGTGGCGGATTTGAATAAGCGGATTTTGCGTGAGCGAAGACTGGAGGGTAGAAGAAAGGTCTGATCATTGGTAGTCAGCATGTGCGCATACTTTAACAGACTGCAAAGGCCACTATTCGCTAGATACATACCAGTGAATGCAACCTCTCCAGCAAGAGCCACCAGCGCCTCAGCAAGCTCCTTCTCCTTCTCTTTCAGCTCACGCCTTTGCGCCTGCATAGCTCGCCATGGCACGACGAAGCCAATGCTCTTTCCGCCGATATCTACTGCCTTCCCATCTGCGATCTCTTGCGTACTGTCCACAGTATTGCTTTTGCCATATTTCTTGCCCTTCTGGCCGCGAGCATCTTCTTGGTGATACTGAAATGCGAGGAGAAGATCATTGTTGTCTTTGGTATTGCGAAGATTGCGCCAGACACTGAGGACGGCGTTGGTAGAGAAGATTTGTTGATATGGCGACATGATGATTGCGCAAACGGATAGGTTTTCACATTGCTGAATATACGGATTGTTAAAGATGCGACGAAGTGCCGGCGTCGTAGATCTGCGGTGAGTTCAGGCGTAAAGGGCGCTTTGTTAGCAGGTTGGTGGGACGTGATGGGATGGAAGGAGCGGAACCCATGTTTGTCAACAGAGTTAGCCGCATTAGGATGCAACACGTGGGGCCGCGTGTGAGGGGCAACGCATCTACCACGCGCTACCCGCGATAGCGTGCCAGACGCGTAGGGAATGTTGTACTCGTAGATTTCTGTTCTCATAATTTTGATGTTGCTCGTATACATCGACGTCGGAATCGTGCCCTCTCCCAGACTCTATAGTACATTCGTATACCAACGCTCCTACCCAATCAATCCTGAAAGATCAAACGCAGCCCAACCGATTCCGAGTATGCTGATGCGCCGAAGAACACCGAAGTATGCATCGCTGCGAACAATGACTGAACCAACTTACCTCAAATTTATTAGATCATGCCGGCCATGCCACTTGACGCGTACGCCATGGGCTTAATATTCGGATGCGCAACAGCATCAAACTGAGTAAACTTGAGCTTGTACTCTGGGCCAATCTTGATAAAAGCGCCCTTGTTGTGAGTGCTGTCGCAGTAGTTGGGCGCCGAGAACACCGTTATACAGCGTCCATCGTGTTCGACTTCGTAACCCTCCATGCGTACTTCGTGCGACCGGATAATGGCTTCAAGGCCGTTGTTCTCGCAGAAGCGCTTCGTGATGTCGGGGCCGAATTGCAGACCGACACCGCGCTTGCTGGGTCCACGGCCTGGATTCGTTTGAGGGTCAGTCCACAACATCTCCATCATGAGCCCAGACTGTCCCGGTTGACGCTGCTTGAAGCGGTCGAGTTTTCTTACGTCGTCTAGCGTGACCTTGTCATCCGAGAACAGACCGCCGTGAAGCACAAAGTACTTCTTGCCGATGAGGGTTGCTAGAGGCAGCGCGGAGAAAGACTCTGAGAACAGCTTGAACACACGCTCGGTGTACTTCGCCCTGCACTCACCCTCGAAACCGTACATCCTGTTCATATCGTCTGTCTCGTGGTTGCCGCGGTTCAGGAAGAAGGTATTGGGGTATAGCCATTTGTAGGCGTATAGCAGCAGGGCGATTTCGGTGGACCATGAACCTCGATCGACGAAGTCGCCGTTGAATAGGAATGCGTGCTTTTCGGAAGGCTTGCCCGCGAGGCGGAAGATCTCCATTAGGTCGAAGAATTGGCCTAGCCTTGTCAGTACACTGTATGTCCGCAATTCCTTGTATCAGCCTACCGTGGGTATCTCCGCAAACTGTAATCTCGTGACCATCTGCAACATCATGCTCGACCATGGTGGGTTCCTTCTTGACAATGTCCATGACAGCGATGATGATCTGGTAGACATACTTCTTGGCCAACTTCTTTCCGTTCTTGAACCTCTCAATCATGTCTTCGACAAACTCCAGAGTCATCTTATCTCCCAGCTTTGCGCCATCGTATGCGGGGTCCACAGCCATGTGTTCGAGGTCTAGCCCCTCCGCTGCCGACGGCGCGTCCTCGACTTCAATAGCCTTGAGGAAGGCATCTCGCTTGACGACCTTGTCGCACTCGGCCATGCGCAGTTTCGCGTTCGCATCGTTGGGGGCTTTCTTGACGACGAGCTTCCAGTCGCGGAGTGCTTCGCGGTGCTTGAGGATGGCGGTGTTGGCTGAAGCGCGGCGGTAGTATGCCTGGTGCTGCGATGAGCCGTCATGCTGACGAAGTGAGTTTCCCATGATAGTACCTTGACATTGTTTGGATCTAGTTCAATAGCCGTGTCGGCGTCCTGTATAGCGTAGCCATATTGTTCGAGTTTGATATATGTCTGAGAGCAGGTTAGTAGACGCTTGTATGCAGCAGGTGGACTCCGTACTTGTGCACGGTTGGTGTAGAAAGAGGGCTCTGCGTTGTATGCTTCTATGGCCTTGGTGTAGAAATCCAAAGCCTTATCCCATTCCTGGTTCCTGAAGGCATTGTTGCCCTGGTCCTTAAGCTTGGTAGCTTCGTCGGTCGGGGCACCCATGATGTATCGATATGGTGCGGGACAAACTGGGGTATGCGAGGCAACGCGGGTGTGGTTACAGAAGGCGCGACGGGTTGCTGCACCTGTTGATTGACGGGAGAGGGAAACTGCGTCCCTGCGCGAAATATGATTGCTTTACAAACAAGTGACGTACGGCGAAAAGAGAGTGAACTGTCGCCCGCATTGCCCGCCAAAAGTTATCAAGCAATTCGGTCCCGCCTTCTCGCCTCGCCTTGCCACTAACGCCTCCACCAACGCTTCAACCAACCAGCGACCTCGGCTCGTAGCTAGACATCATGGCGCGCAAGGGCGTCGCAACGGTCAAGACGCCCAACAGAGAAGACCGATACATGACCATCGACTCTGACGGCGAGGAAGTCACTCCTGCTCCCAGTTCGCCGAGTGAGAGAACTGGTTCCCGAAAAAACAGCAGAGCAGATGGGGTTCAGTTGTTTGCGCATGAGCTGGAGAATGTCGATCCCGCAGCCTCACGCGAGCGACTAAACCCCTCTAAAGTGGCCGAGTCAGGTCCAGAGCCAGAGCGCCTTCAGCCTCGCCAAGCTTCCGGAACCGTAGAACAAAGTAGGACACTTGCGAACGCACTGTTTCCTGCCAGCTTCAACAACGCCGTCTTTCCTTCCGTCCAAGTTTCCGAGTCGCCCACGTCCATTTTTGACCATCAGAGTCCGCATCAGGATCGAGAGCCTGTACAACAGCCCTATCCTCGCACTCGGAAATCTGCTACACGTTCGCGCGCTGCCGGTCAAGGTCGCGGCAACGCTTACGCAGACGCCAGTCTCTCCACTCGTACACAGCACCTCGGTCTCACCCCTGAGAACCGCCGTCAAGCAGGTCAAAATCTGCCTTCCAACCTTGTCCCCTACATCAATAACCCCAACAACTCCGACATGGCACGAGATATGATCGAGGGCGGCGCATACATCGCGCCTGGCCAGCAGCGCAACATGCGCGCCTGCATGGTCTGCTCCATCGTCCGGACTCAGAACCAGTTCCTCACCCAAGGCTGCCCGAACTGTGAAGAGATCCTCGAGCTTGCCGGCAACCCCGAGCAGATCAACGATTGCACGTCGCAAGTCTTCGAAGGCCTCATTACGGTCGCTGATACCTCAAGGAGCTGGGTGGCTAGATACCAACGTCTTGAGGGTTATAAGCCGGGTGTCTACGCGACTCAGGTTGAAGGCATCCTCCCGGACGACGTGATTGGGCTGGTGGAGAGCGCGGGCATCAATTACGTGCCCAGGGACGGTAGCGAGCAAGATATGCTGCCCAAGGACTAAAGATAAATGTGTGAAGAGAGGGACCAAACACATGTGTCAGACGCGACGTGTGATAGGGAAAAGGGATATTTGCATTGCATCTTCAGCGACGGAGTTATGGTAAAAGTGCATCCGCGGATGCCTCAACAAGACGATACAACAGCTCGAAGAATCGATCTCATTAAACCATGGAGCCCACCAAATCACCGGTACTTTTGTGTCTTTTTCTGGTGACATACACTTGTTGTCGCGGCACTGCTGACAGAGTCTGTGCCTTGCACTCTTAAACAGGTTGCCATCATTATGTCTAACTCATAACATAACAGACCTAGCCAGTGAATTCTTTTACATACGACCATAGTTTCAAGAACATAGCGCTTCCCGTTCGCTCAGCGGTACTCAAGCTTGTAAACGGCGGATTAGTAGTCAGGTGGGTGACCACTGGCGAATCCCCGCTGTTGTATGTTTTTGAATCTTTTTTTTAGCATTTCTTCTTGCTTGTAGAGCTCTGGATGGCAAGCGCGACCTAGTTCTCAGCTTTAACTCCTATGGCTTAGGGGCGGCTGCTGCAAAATGCCGTGGTATGCACTGCATCGATGATTAGCCTGATAGGAGCGTTGACTTTGGCCAGCAAACCAGTAGGAGCACCGACTCATATCTTGTGGCATTCACCACCTCGCCATATTTTTAGCCTAGTCGCTGCGCAGACCGGACTTGCTACAAGACTTTACAGTACTCGGCGTCACAGCCATACGCGTCGTGGCGCAAGTTAGATGGGATTCAGCCTCGTGGGCTTCGAGATGGTCAACATCACGAACTGCACTTCCTCCTCAGCCTTTCTTACCTGAAAGTATCAGCCCAGCCACTTGAACTTCAGCATCCGGACTTCAACCTGGTTCATGAAGTTTTAGGCTCGTTCACACTCACGCAAGCTTTCACGAAGCCATGAAATTCCCTCAATCTAACACAAGCTTCGATGGCGCGTCACTCTAGAATGGAGTCGATGCACACAGTATGTTTCTATTACTATAGTCTATTCTGGGGCTCTCAAGGCACATACAAACCAGATTAGGCAGATTACCTTGGATAACGAGCGCACTTCCATGACAGCAATGGACTATAACCCGTTCAAGGTATACTCTGGAAAGGTCGAAGATCAATATCACAGACGGTCTCTCATGGCTTGGTTATCTCTTTATAACGTGTATTCCGCTCGATATATGATCTTAAACTGCCTGTCCACTACTCTCCAACCAAACAACACTTCTCGGACTACCCACACTCATATCCACTATTCCCACTGTGCTACTTCTCACATCCGGAACAACCATAACACTCTCCCCATAGCTCAGATAATCAGTCTCGCAGTTCAAGATCTCCGCCTCCGTATTACTCGGCTTCCCCTTCTCCTCCTTCGGCTTGATCTTCGCACGGATATCCACATTTGGCAACAACGTATTCCCGGGCTTAAGCGGAATAAGCATGATCGGCCATTCGTACTCTTCATCTTCCCTGGCAGTGAAGTGTGCGCGTCGTTGACCGGCGACAAGCCAGGCTTCGGGGTTCACATCAATTGTGTAAACGAAATCAATGGGCTCGCTTACTTCGGTGAGATTGGCGGCGGAGAGCAGACTGGAAGGTGAGGCCCATCGACGGGTGTGCGAGATGCGGAGGGTGGTCATGAGAGGCTGGCCTACGGTTGCGATGGTGGATTGTAGAGATGAAGAGGGCGAGTTGAAGGATAGGGATGCGGTGTGTAAAATGTGGGTTTGAGGAATCGACACTGTGATGACCATCCGGCGGGGTGGGTATGGCGACGGCGGAGCGGTTGCATGTTGCGTTGTGTCTGACACATCATCCTTAGTGAGCAGGATAGTCCTGTGCTTCTACCAGGATATTAGCATATACTGTCGTGTGAAAGGCATCACTACTTACTTCATGCCACTTCTGCAACCAGGTCTGCGTGTCATCGCGAATGATGAGCGGCAGACCTTCCAGACAGTCTGCCCAGCCAACGTCCTCGAACGCGCCCAGATCAAGCCTTTGCAGCAACGCAATCTTTTCGTACTGGTGTGGAAGGATGTCTTGCTCCAATCGACTGGCGAATGTGTCGGTAAGCAAACGAGCCAACCGGTGCACTGGGCTGTCTTCGACAGCACCAGCAAACATCTTTCGCACTCGGTCGAGAACATCTTCGTTCAAGCATCGGTACTCAACAGCCAATGATAGACTACCGGTGGTGGAAATCCGGCTTTGTCGCTTCTTCGCAGCGTCCATCGTCTTCTTGGTGACCTTGTATGTGACTGCAACGGGCTGCTTCGGAAACACATGGACAGACTCTTTTGGACGCCTTGGCGCGTGCACGTCAAACTCCTCTGATCCTTCTAATGCAACATCTAGGAGTTCCAATGGTACATGATTGGCGGTTTTGATGTTAAACTTCGAGAAGAGTGACTTGCCCTTGAAGTGGTCGTGGACATTAACGTCTAGAGGCAACTCGACTGGGATAAGGAAGGTTGACGTGTACTGAAATTGACCATCATTGGTGTAGTAGTCAACGTCTATCTTGACTGTCAGATCTTGCAATATCGTCTCCATATCGTAAGGTATTTTCAATGTCGCTGTCGAATTTGCTGATATGCCACCGATAGCGATAACTCCCGGTGTTGGCTTACTATCATCGATCGTAATCTCTCCAGCAGCCACGCTTGCGTTTGCCGTCCGCAGTCGTAAACCTGCCGAGGCAGACTTTAGTCGAATTTCTGCACGCGTAATCTCGTTCCATCCAGTCGAGCACTCGACCTCTATGTGCCGCGGCTTATCGATGTGAATGAAGTGCGAAAGATAGATCCGGGCTTGGAACGCTTCGCTACGGGGGAAGCACAGGATACGAGCTTTTTTCGCCGCTTTGAGCGATTGCGCAGAGACCGAAGTGATTATGCCGAGTGGTGTTGTCGCTTCAGCCTTCTGAAAAGGCTCGTGTACAAAAATGATGCGCTTTGCTTCCAGTACTACCCTGTCGACCATGTACGGCCCAGTCGTGTTCATGTTGCAGCCGATCCACATACGATTCAAGCCTTTCTTCAACTGTATAGCTCCAGTCTCTTCAAGCCATATGTCCTTGGCTTGATTTGAAACTGCACCGACCAGGCGAATCTTGGCTGCCCGGATTTCGATCTCGTCCTCAAGATGATGCCTGAATTGCAGGCGTAGCTGAAATCCATCTCTATCATCGTAATGGCGAACATACGGTTCTACCGAGATATCGCCAAAGTACTTCGGCATCTGGACCGTGACATCGTACGGTAGCTGCTGCGAGTAGCTGATGAGCTCGTGAAACACATCAGTAGTATCCACTTTGTCGTCGTTCAGCCAGTCACGAGGCATATCAGCCGCATCGGCCGTGCTGGCTCGCTTGACCGAGCTCTTGAATGCCATTCGACTCGCCGCCGACTTGGCTAAAAGATCAAGTACTGTTCGCACATATTCGTCCTTGCGATTGAGTTTCTTAAGGCAACGTGCGTGCATTTTGAGCATGGTCGTCTCGACGGTGTTCCATCTGCTCTCTGCAAAATACGACGCCATACGTCCGAAGTACATCGCGGCTGCCGCAAAGTCGCCGAGCTCACTATAGCAATGTAAGTAATGAGCATGACGACGTCAGACGAGTGGCAAACATACAACCTAAGGGCGGCCAGATCCCCGAGCACGCTCTCCGCTGACTTCGTTTGCCCTGCAGCCATGTAGTGCTTGACAATGAGATCACTCAAGGCCTGAAAAGGTCAGCGACTATGCCTAACATCCTGATATCTCTACTAACCTCGTAGAATTGTCGGAATTGCCTAATGGATAACATTGCTGTGACCAGCGCTCCAGCAGATATGCCAAGACGTGGCTTCAAGGCTTCAGCGTCCGGTCCGGTATGTGAGTCGTCCTGCTTCGGCTCACTCTCCTCCTCCTGCACCTCCTCCTCGTCATCTTCCAAATTAATGTCAGCTAGCTCTTCTTTCGCATTGAGAGACGCCAAGATAGCATTCCAACCAATATTCCAACCCATGCTCTTGCCCGCATGTTCGAGCAGGCGTCGTTGAATGGCGAGCAATTGTGCTCTGGTACCAGCCAGTTCTTGCAAACCATTCTTAGCAGAAGGAATTGTGCTTTGTTGATTCGGCGGTGGTCGATCGTGATACTGGCCATTCTCGAATACAACCTGGGCATTTGCGGCAGGCTGTGCGTACGGCATGTCTGATGCAGGTCGCCCATGGTTCAGAGATGTCGACCGAGATGGGTGGATCATCGACTTGGGCTCTGAGACCTTCATCTTCTGTTCTTTGTTACGGCCGCCAAACGAAAGACTCTTGCCTGAAGAGCCGGTCGATAGATCTCTAGAGAGCCTAGTAAATGGAAGTGATCCTGTAGAAGTTTCACGCAGCACCTGCTCCAGGGCAGCGAATGTCCACGAACGAACGATGTTCTCAACTAGATGATCAGGGAATGTGGCATCATGAGCTTTGGCACTGTAGTCACGAGTCAGTGCTTCGAATCATCGGGCTCAACTTAGACTTACCCGCTGAGTAGATCGTCTCGCAAGAGCCGCCCGGCAAAGGTTATAAAGTTCAGTGCACGCGAGCAGAGTTCAGCGAGGGAGAAAAGATCCTCCGAGTCGTTTGATTGACCACCCGACTTCATGCCAATAGCGCTGTCGTCAGTGGATCGCTGAATCACGCCGGCATTGGGTCGAGGCTGTAGTTTAGCTGCGAGGTCAGAACGTGCTGAGACTGAATTTCCGAGTCTCAATAGCAAGAACATCTGACGAGCGAAGATATATAACCTGAAGTCGAAGATCGAGATGTTGTTTGCGAGGATGAGACCGCGGTAGTCTTTCTTCAGCGCGTTGATCGGCCTATCGTCGTGTATGGACGATCCTGATCCTTCCTTCCCATCCTGCTGGGCGATCTCCGCCGCTGTCTGATAGAGATCATCTGAATAGCTGAGTAGAACACTCCCTTGTGCATTTTCACTCGACTGATCACGTATGACACTGTCTAGACCGATGGAAAGCTCGTCATACCCGAGCAGAGCATCTTCGACTAAGCCTACACTTTCGAAGCCTCTTGCCAAGCCTTCCTTCAAGATGAAGAACGTGTTGAAGTTCCAGCCAGGAAATGAGCGCTGAGCGTCGTTCTTCCGGATATCCTCTTCGTACTGACTCACCCGGAGGTCGAACGAGAGGAGGATCAGTACCTTGAACTTAGATATAACATCGGCCCAAGCACGCTCTTGTTCCTGAGGACTTTCTGTGATAGGTGGTGAAGTGACAGGTGCTGCGGCTGGAAGCATGTGTTGTGGAACTCTCTCTTTTGGCACCCGTATCTGAGCTACCCGATCAGGTGCCGATTTTGATGAGACATTGAAGTCCGCGCGAAGCTTTTCAAGTAGGGTTGTGGTCCCGCGCGTCCATCTAGAAGCTGCCCCAGTCTTCTCCTTCTCGCCAGTCGTAGTACTAGAAGATCCACGAGGCTGGCTTGCTGCTGGCGTCTCAGGCACTACCACATGTAGAATCAACCATTCGTAAGCATCATGGTTCTCCTGCGTGTTTGCCGTGCTGCTTTGAGAGGGCGGTGTGTGTTCCTTCACCCACTCGCGAACTTGCTTACGTGCAGCCGCCTTGTAGGTTTCTGAATCGTCGCATCTCAAAAGATAGACCTTTAAATAAGGAGTTTGACGCAATCCTGGGATCTGATGTCGCCGCTCTTTCTCTTTGTTAGGTGCTCTGAAAACCTCATCCGTGTTCCTAGTGGGCGTACCTTGGCCAGGTGCTTGAGTTGACGAGGCCGTACTTGCAGCCTGTGCTGATTCTTTACTGGGCACAAGATCAACATGCAGAGAGTCGATAGATCTCAACGGCCGTGTAGGAGCTTTCCAGTGCAAGTTACGAAGGGGCAGACGCGCAGCCAAGTCCTCCTGTATCAACGAGAAGACCCCAGAGGGATCATGATACTCGACTGCGAAGCATAAGCATATGGGGTGGTGAAGTTGCAGGGGTGCATACCCGTCACTTTGGAGCTTGATAGCCCGTCCATCACAGTAGGTTCGGCTTGAGTTTGCCTAGGACCATCCTCTGTGGCACCCAGGGCTGGCGCACCATTTCCAGCCACACTCATGAAACGTGCACGACGAGAAATACGGTATGACGGCGAATTATGTGATAAATGACGTTTGCTTGAGTCGCGGGTAATGATGCCGTCGCAAGATGAACGTTGCGCTTTGGGTGGCTTCACCGCTAGCCCTGACTAACCCGAATCCGGTGAAGTCTCGTCGAGAGCTCCGCCACATCACGTGCGAGCATCCTTCATCCACCTGTATCAGGTGGCCGCTGCGCAAGCCTCTCGACCCCTAATCATCACCGGTCAGCAGCAGTTTCGTCTCGCTTTACCCTGCTAGCAATAGATAATTGTATTCGTTCAGCCTTGTGCTATGCCTTGTGGAGTCGTGTTGCTTTCTCGCTTGAGCGCCTGTGGGTGTTCGCATTCTTCGCATTGGTCTTTCCACGAGGGGTCTGACATACGCGCCCTCTACTCCGTGTTGCCGCAAGCATCATGTGATGAATATTATATTACATCCAATGCCTTGAAGAAAGTGGTATGCTACCGATTCTCTTCGTATCTATTTGAAGCCTTTTTGTGCCTGCCTCTTATTTCTCGCGATACAACAATTAACTTTTATTTTTCGGCTTTTGGACTCACTGTATCATTACCCTGCATACCTGGTATATCGCACTCCTGGCTGTCGGGATGGGGATGGGAGATTATTCACCTGGCAGCGTCTGGTACTATGGCCCAAACAAAGCCGCACCCATCGTCTTCATCATCCTCTTCTTCATCTCTGGAGCACTACACGCCTGGCAGACGATGTAAATACCTCAGTCTCCATTGTCACACTGTACTGACATCTCTCAGCAAGCACAAGTCGTGGCGAACAACACTACTCCTTCCATGGGCCGCGCTCCTAATGATTAGCGGCTTCGCGGTGCGTCTCGCTGGTGCTTATGACACCGATAATCTGGCCTATCTTATAGCCTCGACCGTACTCATTATGTCCGGGCCACCTGTGTACGCTCTGACCAACTACTTCATTTTGTCACGACTCCTCTACTACATCCCTTACTTAGCCCCTCTTCACCCAGGACGTGTAGCAACAACCTTCATAGGCCTTGACGCCGTATGCGAGGTCCTCATTGGGCAAGGCGCCTGGCGCATGGCAGACTCGAGCTCTACAGACGCAGAACGGCAGCTTGGCTCAGATCTCGTCACGGCGTCACTGTGTCTCCAGGCAGCACTTTTCGGCGCCTTTGGGCTTCTCGCAGCACAGTTCCACCGACGTGCCAACAAAGCAGGAGTACTCAGGAAGGACCTGCGCACCGTACTTTACGTCATGTACGTGAGTGCTACTATCGTTACCATCCGCTGCATATACCGCCTCGTCGAATACATTCTCGGCTGGCAATCTTCCATCTACCAGAACGAAATCTACTTCTGGATCTTCGAAGCTGTCATCATGTTCCTCAATACTGCTCTACTCAATATCTATCACCCGGGGAAGCGCCTACCTCACTCAAATTCTGTGTTCCTGGCACGCGATGGCGTAACCGAACGGAAAGGACCTGGCTGGGGTGATGACAGGCCATGGATCATTACCATCTTCGATCCTTTTGACCTTTGGGGCTTAGCTAAGGGGAAAGATAAGAAGACACAGTTTTGGGATATGAGTGATGCGGAGTTAGAAGCAGCGAGGGCAGAGAAAAAGAGGAATAAGAGGGGCGTGCTGAAGGGCTTGCTGGACCCTTTCCATCTCTGGGGTGAGAGAGGATATATTGGCAAGTACCTCAAGAAAGGCAAGAGTAGCGGCAAAAGGAGCAACGACGGAGCGGTGCAGCTCATAAACGCCGAGCATCCGGAGTACAGTGGTAAGGGTACGAATGATGCAGTTTAAGACAGGGTGCATGATATCGCCTAAAGTTAGGGGGCTCCCTCTTTCCTGCTTCTTGTTTCTTCTACCGTCGGTGTTCATCTTTTCTTTTAACTCTACATACTCCTCGTATACCCTTCTAGTCTCCAGAGTAGTCTGCCATTGAAACAAACATCGAAGATGTTCCATGAAGCAATCAGTGACACTATTATAGTCGCTCTCCTTTGACCCTTCCACGAAAAGACGAAGTGTATACCACCACAGCCATGATTGACTCCACCATCAATACCTTCGGCGTCTGGCTACTTGTGGGTTCTATTCTCTTTTTCCTTGTCATCGCCATCGTAGCACTACACCATACCTGGTCCAGGCTATGGGCTAGGCTACGCGGACAAGAAAAATAGTTTTACGGTTAAATTCAAAATTCGAGACCTCAATAAACACTACAAGGACAGCAGGAAAACGGCGTTGTACACACGCCTCATGCATGTCCTGCTAATCGCGCAACTCAAGTTTCGCCACCTACAACAGACCTGTCAGTAGCAAGCGATGATATAGAGCTTCCTGGACTTTCAGATATTAGAGGGGGATCAGAGCCGCCTCTAAGCCCTCCGATGGCACCTTCGCCAATGCGGAGAACAGAGAAGTCATCGGAGGAATCATTCACACCGTCAATGTTGGAGTCGCATGCTGATTTAGAAAGCTCTGATCAGGGTAAAGAGTGAAGTAGTAGCGATGAGTGAGCGATGAATCGGCTCAGGTGGAGGATATAGCGGGCATTGCTACTTCGGATTGTGGTCTCGGTAGGAGTTCAAGCCGAGAGTGATGCTTACGAATTCAGTACCACGGTGGCGACTGTACGCAGATTAAGTTATTGGTGGGAATAATTAACAATGGTTTGAGCGGTCTAGGTGTATATGCAGATGACGAGGTACAGCTTTCGACTTAGTGATTCGAGGCGTTGAAACTATTACGCGGCAAGCACCGCGCGTCCTGTTAGGCGTCGTCACCATCTAGCTAGATGCTACAACGGCACAGTCATCATTGAATTTTAAGGAGGAACAAATTTATGAAAAGAAAACAATAAACGTTACGGTATTCATGATATATGCTATACATCTATGTAGGCACCACGCCTAACGCCAGGTAGGTCGGTGAATATGCAAGTCCCTGGAAACCGAGAGGTTGTAATTCCATGCCACTCTTGATAACGCCAACAATGCACGTATGCATGTATAAGAAAAGTTCATTAAGCAGGACAGATATTAAGAAAATTGTGATCTACACATCAGAAGCCGTTAAAGCCCATCAGAATACCCGCACCGGCGATCGCAGCACCACCAACCCATGGGTTCGCAGTTGCAGCTGGCATGGCAGCGGCAGTGGAGGTCTCGATTGCGCCACCGCCGCCTGTAACACTAGGGCCGTTGACCCTGGGTCCGTCAGTGCCGACCGATGCAGTTGATACCGCACCGACAACACCGGTTGCATTGGGTACGCCATCAGAGCCTTCTCGGATTTCCTGGATGTTTTCTGAGGTGGCGTTGAAGTTTGTCTGAGCGAGAGAAATTTCGTTATTCTCAAGGTCGTAGACGACATATGCGGATCGTAGGAAGGTGTCACCAAGAACAGCGACAGATTGACCCGCAGGTCCAATGCCGAGGATACAGACGGGCCGTCCGCGACTGACGGCAGCGACTATAACAAGCTCGTTGAGTGGAACGGAGATCTGGACTCCGGAGAAGTTGAATTCGAGCGAGCCTTGCTGGTTTGCAAGATCACAGTCAACAAAGGCAGCACCCTGGGAGGCGTCGTATTGGGCGTCGAAGGTTTGGTATAGTGAGCTCGCGACATTGTCGGGCAGATACATCAACGAAGATCCAGAGTCGAGCAGGACGGGCACGTTGGCGTTCTCAAAGATGGAGCCATTGTTACCATTGCGACCCATTCCAGTCAGGGCAATGATGAACTCAGCATACTGTCCGCGCTCTGGGATGATGGGCAATGTCTGAAGTTCGCCCTGGTACTTGTCCGTGTCCACGCCACCGAAAAGAATGCTTCCAGTCGATGCGTCCAAATCGTTCAGCCACAAAGAGTATGCGTTTGAGTTAATGGTGCCATCGTCCTTCAGCTTCTGAGGCAAGTTCGGGTATGGATCCAGCCCTGCACGGCCTACGGCAACCTCGTTGATGGTGTATCCGATTCCAAGGATGCCCTCTGGTGAGCTCGATACGTAGCCGATACCAAACTGCAGATCCTTTACGGTTTGTCCGCCGAAGCGGAAGTTATCTGTCGCATAGTCTCCCGATGCGCCTGATCCATCCACGTATGAAATGTTGAATGCGCCGTTGACGTAGTTGTATGTTGACGAATCGTTTGCGTTGTATGTACCCGATTCACCACACTGGTTGCCTCCTTGACTGCACAAGTTTGAATTGACCGAGTTGACCCAGAGATCGCTGCTACCCGTGTCGATGTGTAAGCGGAAGTTTTGCTCGGGAGTACCTAAGCTTGCGTTGGCGAAGTAGAGCGTCTCGAGATTGTCAAGCGTCTGTTGGACGACGCTTTGCCGTCTTCGTAGCTGATCGTGTGCGACTGGGTTGACGACATTTCGGCGCTGGGTATCTAGGCGCACTACTCTCGGGTTCTATGTGAGGATTAGCATCGCATCCCGCGAAAATGCGTCTATGCGCTGGAATGGAAGGACTTCGGAAGGATCCCGTTTCGGACTGGAATGCTGGGGATGCCAAGAGGCGCACTTACCTCTCGTGGTGCAAGCCTCACTGCCACTGCCGACGACAACAATTGCGCCGCCACGAACGTCGAATACTTCATGATGTTTTCTCTGGAGGTGTGATGCTAGGGATGTTCGCTCGATGTATACCACGGGGATATGACGGGTCTCTGTTGTGGCTTGGTGAAATCTGACGCGCGAGTGGTCGGAGCTGAAAGAAGGCAGCTATGGGTCGTGTTTGAGCTTGCAATTAGAGTCGCAGAAAACGAAGCGTTGTACAAGCACGAGGAAATAGTGCACAGCAGGGAAATAATAGCAACAGAGGAAAGACGACTGAAGTGCGACTAGGGATACAGCCAATATGTAGCAGAGGCGCAGACGGGGGAGGCTTTAGTCGGCGAAGGGGGCGTTCGAGCCTGTTGATGACGACGCTTATGATGAGGTCAAGTCTGGAATTGTTACGGATCCTGTGGCCTTTAGTGCAGCTGCCCACGTAACGAACATGGGCAGCCGCCGACATTTCCGGGGCTAAAAGCGAGCAACCAACAGGACTTGTGTGTGCCTCGCTGAAGGGATCCGCATGGCGTGGCGGTGCCTCCATTACGAGACGATTCGCCTGGACGCCGCTTGTATCGCCCAGCCAAGCGCTTGTTGCTGATCTGACAAGCCTTGCCGCTGCACGCCGCCTTGTCAGTGAACAGTAGGCGAATACGGCGCAAACAATGTCAACACCGCAAAACATTCATAGACTGACGAGAAAACATCTGTAGGTGCTGCTTCACAATAGCTACTTCATCTTGTTTGTGGTTGCATTGTAGGCTGCGGGTGCTTGTCCGTGCTTCCGTCAGCCGCGTACGTCACATGGTCTACCACAGCGTCTTCACGCCGTCGTCCATCGAGAGGCTACTAAACCATGCGATACATAATCCAGTAGCCTAGCGGCTGATGAGTCTTCATATGGTGTCTTCAGACGCCCGGAGCCAAAAATGCCGCGTCGTCGAGACGCCTGAAGTGCGCTGCGCCTTTCGAAAAAGACGTTTGAGGCTGAAACCTGACGCCCTGCAGGAACCGGTACCTCGGATAGTATCTATGTGGCGCATCATCGTCGTCGGTAGCGAAGACCCTGGAGAAGGAATTATCTCGCTTCCTACGCTAAAAACGAACAGGTGAGCGATTTCAGTGTCGCGCTCTATACCAATGTAGAATTTAGAAGAAAGTATGCCTGTAGATCACTCGTGCTACTAACAGCTCTGGCATGGGTGACGTCGTATCCCACGGACATGTGTCGCTCTATCTTTAGTGCGAAGGGCTCGATGCCACGGTTGCGGGTCGATCTTCTCGGGCAATGCTGCACGTGAGCACTAGTCCCAAGATGGACGACCCGTGAAAGCACGTTTGCAGAGCATCGCGTGTTTCGCGTCACCCCTCCAGACCAGCAACCACAGCCCAAAATGTCAAAAGCCGAATCTTCCAAAGCAGCCGCCAGCAATGGTGTCAAACCAAACCCCAACGCTGCTGGTGGTGCTAATTACGAGCTGCCATGGTAATTGACCGCCCATGACCTCCCCCAGCTCATCCAGACTAACAGGCACCCAGGGTAGAGAAATATCGTCCCGTCTACCTCGACGACGTCGTCGGCAATACCGAAACCATCGAGCGCCTCAAGATCATTGCCAAGGATGGCAACATGCCACACATGATCATCTCCGGCATGCCTGGTATCGGCAAAACTACATCCATCCTCTGTCTCGCACGCCAACTCCTCGGTGATGCTTACAAGGAGGCCGTTCTCGAACTCAACGCCTCCGATGAACGTGGTATCGATGTCGTCCGCAACAGGATAAAGGGTTTTGCGCAAAAGAAAGTCACACTTGCGCCAGGCAGGCAGAAGCTGGTCATTCTGGACGAGGCGGATAGCATGACCAGTGGTGCACAGCAAGCCCTGAGGAGGACGATGGAGATCTACAGCGGAACGACACGATTTGCATTCGCTTGCAACCAGTCGAACAAGATTATTGAGCCGTTGCAGTCGAGATGTGCCATCCTCCGATACGCCCGCCTTACCGATGCCCAAGTCGTGCGCCGCGTTATGCAGATCTGCGAGGCCGAGGACGTGAAATACTCAGATGATGGAATCGCGGCACTCGTCTTCTCAGCCGAGGGCGATATGCGACAAGCCATCAACAACCTACAGTCAACATTTGCCGGTTTCGGCTTCGTAAATGGCGACAATGTGTTCAGGGTGGTTGACAGCCCACATCCCATCAAGGTGCAAACCATGATCAAAGCGTGCCATGAGCAGCGGATCGACGATGCTCTGGCATCACTGAAAGAGCTATGGGATCTGGGGTATTCATGCCACGATATCATCAGCACAATGTTCAAAGTTACAAAGACCATTGATACGCTGAGTGAGCACGCCAAACTGGAATTCATCAAGGTAATCATCGTCAAATCATTTAAAATGCAATTGCTAATTAGGAACAGGAAATCGGCTTTACCCATATGCGCATTCTCGAAGGCGTGCAAACACTACTCCAACTGTCCGGTTGCGTTGCGCGCTTGTGCAAGATCAACATGCAACCCCAGTTATTCGCCCTTCCCACAACATCGAAATGAAAATACTCCTTCTGGGCATCTGCAGCATTTAGCATGGAGTTTGGCGTTCACACGTGGCCATACAAAGGCCTATCCTGACGCATCATGGTATATACGCTATTTGAGATCCTTTAATTGCAGTCCTCTCTTCATGCTCACTTTCACTCCTTTGTGATTTCTTTAAACTCCGTGCCGCAGAACAAATCACTTCACAGGACCAGATCGACAAATTAAGCTCTGAACATCTAGGCCAATTCGCACCAAGATACCCCAATTTGACAGACCCACTCCTCGATCGTACGTACCAGAAGATTGTGCGACCGGACTTGAGCATCAACGCCAACAACTTTGAGCCTGAAGAGAGCGATCCGGATTATGATGTACTGCAATATCTGGCGCAGGTACAGCGGGTACTGCTAGCGACGCGGACTAGAGCCCATCAAGACAGGCTAATCGTATCTATACACGAAGGCTGGTATGGTTCAGTGTTCGCCAAGGGAGAGGATGGCGAGGATACCGGGAGCGGATGTCGGAAAGATGGTACGGAGTTCACGGCCGAGATAACATGGTGCGCTGATTAGCGCGAGGAGTTCAATACGTGTTTTGCCCTTTCCCGGTGAGTGGGTAAGCTGGGGAAGAGAGATCCGTGGGGCGAAATGGGTAGACTAGCGTAATTCGGCTTCGACATCCGTGGTGTACCTGTCATCTAAAGACCCCACTGTATGGTGCGATTTCGAACCAGAAGGGAAACTAAAGTCAGATAAATAGTTGTAGAAATATGCGGGATACCCTGGTGTAGACAAGGAGATGCCTGCAATATTCTCCTTCATCTTCTTCTTTTCTTATACACTGTTCCTGCTCGAATCTTACCATTAGCCACTTACTATGGCTTTTCCAATCGCCCCCAACAACCTCCTCATCAACGCAGCACAATCAAAAATATGTACTGCTTTTGGTATCAAGATCACGCCAGATACATCAATAGTACACATTGCTAAAGCAGCTGGCTATGACTGTAGGTGTCCCTGTATGCACTGCATGTGAGACATGTACTGACTTCGTATACCTACGTTTAGCGTTATTCATCGACCTGGAGCACACAGCTATGACGATCAAGGATGCTAATCAACTATGTATCACGGCAAATTCAGCTGGAATAACACCCTTCGTTCGCGTACCGCACCAGTGCGGTAATGGGTTTATGCAACGCGTGCTGGACGTAGGAGCTATGGGTATCATTGTCCCGCATATCCATACAGTCGGTAGGTTTGCTCCTTCACTATTTCCCTCTTTAAATAGAAGCACGTTCACATAGCTAACCAATATATCCGTAACAGATGACGCCCTCCGCGCAATCAATATCTCCAAATACCCACCGATGGGCAAACGGTCAATAAGCGCTGGATTTCCTCATTTCGAATTCGCTCCCGTATCCACCACTGCCCTGACCACCCAAATGAACGCAACCGGCTCTACAGTCTTCATCATGATAGAAACCGCAGACGCTCTTGCAGCAGTCAATGAAATTGCCTCGCTGCCAGGCGCCGATGTACTCCTCGTAGGCTCCAACGACTTAGCTTCAGAAATCGGTACCCTTGGTGACTGGGACGCGCCCGATTTTCTGGCCGCACTAGAAAAAGTGGGTGCAGCTGCAAGGAAACATGGCAAGATGATGGGCATCGCGGGATTGTATCATAGGCCGGATATACTAGAGCGCGTGATCAATGAGTTTGGCGCAAAGTGGGTAGTGGGTGCGCAGGATGTTGGGTTGCTGCTGCAAGGCGGAACTGCGAACTCTGCTTTGTTGAGAAGTTTACAGAAGTAAATGCAACATTTCATTCCTGTTTTGCTAGCCAGGAGTCTTCATATGCTTCTTTCTCATTGATTGCGGGTGATCTGTCGCTCGAACTCCTCCCAGTCTATCTCGTCGGCTCCTGTCAGTATGAAGTCGTTACCAAAATCGAGGTTGAAGTCGCTGATGTCGTCAATGGAGGGTATGCCATACAATTCGTTATTCGATTCCAAGCTGTTTGGGAGGTGACTAGAATGATCGGGTAGTTCGAAGAGAGCTTGACGCCAATCAGTGTCTAGGGCAGGCTCTTCGTACGTCTCTACTGCATGTGGTCCGTCGGAAGCCGTCGTATCTTCCACAGACGATACAGGATCATGTAAAGCTCGGTGATATGTACTATCCAATGGCCCTTCAGCAGCAGCAGGACTTGCGACAACAGTGGGGATGCCAATCTCGATACCGAGATGTTGACAGATATGTTCAACATCCGACATGCGTTTCGCAGCGGCTTTGTTGCCATGTTTGATGAGGTACTGAAGTATTCTTGTCGCTCCTCGGATACCGTGGAGTCCCGAGCGAGGTGAGCCAGTAGATTGAAGGCTTTCGACAAGTACGAAAACGAACGCGGCCGAAACTGCTGCATCTAAATCGAAATATCCAAATTTGGCCAGCAGTTCCTGTTGCTTGAGCGAGTGTAGGACATCCAGACTCATGCCGGCAGCTTCTATGCACGTCGTTGCAAATATCTGCAGGGCAGAAGATGCAGCATTTGAAAGGTCTACGTCGTTGCCTTCAAGCTTCGATTTAGCGAGATGGAGTATGATGGGTCTTGTTGTCAATATGATAGCCTGTAATATCAGTCAGCGTGCCCCGACTAAAGTTCAGATATCTATTACCTGGAACAGCATCAAGTAGAGTGTTGCTCCCGTCCTCGTAATGATAAAAGTTTTCGAGAAGTCCAAGGGAAACTCATCTGCAAGATTTCTTCTCACTTTTTTGAGCTCCCCAAGGAGGTCGTGCACCGTGCGCAGGAATTGCCCTTCAGATCTTCCCTCGAGTCCATATATTCCTGGAGATGTTAGCCAAGTGATCATGGAATGGAGGATGACGAGCAACTTACCCTGCGTGATCAAACCACTCAACCTCGCGATCTCGATGTTGATCTTCAGCGCCAACGTTGGTGGGAACCCCGCGGATTCGGTGGGGAGTTTGATGGTTATGTTGTCGTCAAGAATACCAACAGGATTACCTGTTGCGGCGGCCAGCCTCCTATGATAAGTTAGGAAATGCTACGTGTCCAAGTGGAATGACTCACCTCTCTTGCATATATATGGTCCACCATAAGCGATTTCGATGTGTTTTCTCAGATCTCTTCATCTGTGTTATAGGGTGTTCGCGAGCGAGGCCATTGGATATAGCAAGCCGCAGTGCCACGCCAGCCTTCGGCGGTGTTAGTAGGATGAGAGCAAAATGTTTAGGGAATGAGATTCAAGTAACTTACGTAGATATACGCATCGTCTTTCCGGTCCGAGCATTGCAGAAAGAAAGCAAACAGACCCATGATTTCAATCGCCAATGTGCCCGATTTCCGTAGATTACATAATGAAGGTAGGCTGTTGACAGCCTCAAGAAAATACGTGGCACCAGGAAATGACGAGCCTTCCTCCATCTTACCCTGTAGCAACTCGCCCAAGGCAAAGATCATTAAAACTTCAATGTAGCAGAGATCGTCAGTTCGCGCTCGGTTTTCGTCTTCTTCGTAGAAGCTAGAGAGCTTGTCGGAAAACGATCTCGGATCGATGAGATGCTGCAGACTCCCGATAGATGTGAGAACTGTATTGAGCAGATCGTGCGCTTGTTCCTCGCTCGGCCATGTTATGTCTGCCGATGTTCTTCGTTGCTTGACACCCCCAGGCTCGAGATTGTAAACATTATCTGGACTAGCGTCGCAAATACTGACCGAACCGACAGAATTCGGCACATGTTCAGAGTGCAGACTTTTGATCCGGGATCCAAAGTTGAGGCTTGAGGACATGGTTGGTTCCAGGACGATCGCTATCAACTATAGTGAGACCACGACAAGATGCTTTGAATAGCTGAAAAACCTACGGGATGTACCCAGATCATGATCCAATTCGGTGCTGTGGGGTGTGGCAACTGGAGGGGTGCCATTGGCGAGGCTACCTGCAGTCGTGGTCGCAATAGTAGACGCAATTTTTCTCTCCAGTTCCTCGACGTAACTGTTTATGTAAGAAGCTTTCATGTACAGCTATGGGTTCACTCACGTCACCGAATACAGCTTCTTTCGTCCATTGTTCAGGAAAGTGCACTGTAGATTTCTCTTTGCGCAGTAGCGACATGGATGATTGCCGCAGCACTTGATCTTCCGCTCTCGACAGGATGTACACCTGTATTAATGTGAGCATTGAGATGGTGCGCATGGCAACTTCTTCACTACGCACGCTTGGGGTGTTCGAGCAGCTTCCTCTACTGGACCAGAAAGTCGAGCTCGCTTGGTTGCGGGCTCGAATGATGTCATAGCTGATGCATCGTGCAGTGATGAGGTGAGATGGGAAAGAGTCAAGCAAGAAAGTAAGAGTGTACGTTTAAGGTTGGTCTCATGATTGAAGATGGCAGTGTTTACTACAAGAAGTCCCAAGGCCCTACTGCAGACCCTTGTTACGTAAATGACGCTAGTTGAGCCTAACCTAGATTCACATCGAATATCAAGTCTCAAGCTGTCAAAAAAAAAGGTATTGAATTCCGACCCATTTTTAAGGGTCGCAAGCTCTACGTAAGCTTGAAGAACTTATGTACGTTATTAAGTGCAGCTGTCGATGTGAGCACCTGCGTCTCGGCTGTCGTTGCGCCAATGTGTGGGGTACTGATGACTTTGCCTGTTGCCCACAGCCTCTCGTACCTCTGCAGTGTCGGAGGCTCTTCCACATGGCAGTCTAGACCAGCACCAAAAATCCGACCCTCCTCTAGCGCTTCCACCAAATCTTCCTCATTCACAATACCTCCTCGCGCGACGTTGATTAGAATCGAACCTTGTCGCATCATCTTGAACTGAGTGGCAGATACCATGCCCCTCGTCTTCTCATTGAGCGGGATATGAACGGTCAAGATATCCACATGAGGCAGCATGTCTTCCCATTGCTTGGCCCTCGTGTGTGGGATGTCGGCCCATGCTTCGGCAGGGGCGAAGGGATCGCAAGCGTAGACTGAAGCTCCAAACGCTCCGATGAACATGCGAGCAACGGCTGTGCCAATATTTCCCATACCCACAATACCAATGGTCTTTCCAATTAGCGTCATGCCACAACAATGTTCTTTCCGGACTTCTGACCCTGCTGCTTGCTTTGTGGATATAACGCGGAGCTGTCGCGCAACCGCCATAGTGAGACTAAGAACAAGCTCTGCGACCGATTGTGCGTTGACGCCAGGAGTATTGAGGATGGCAATTCCGCATTTCTTGCATGCGTCTTGATCGATGATGTCTATGCCCGTGCCTTGCTTTCCGATCGCTCGTAGTTTTCGTGCCGAAGCGATGTCGACTGCTGAGATTGTCTTCTCCCGTACGAGTATCGCGTCTGCATTCTCGCGCCAGTTCTCGATCTCCGGATCGCTGGGTAGTATCGTTGTGAACAGGCGTTGGCTGTGGCGGATAGCTTCTTCAGGAAAGTCTTCGAGAAGATACATGTTGTGCTTGGGTCTCGCCGTAAATCCATCGACAGCGTCGTGAGAGGCTTCGGCGTAGTCGATTCGAGAGGGTGCCATACTGACAGTTAAGGCCGGTCCGTATAGAGATAGAGTAAGATCAAGAGTGCGGTTCTAGAAGCAGCCGGTCGAAATGCTTTCGCAATGGGAACAATGCATAAGTGTTCGTGAAGATTTTGGAGATGCGACCTTGAATGGAACTTTTGCCATGACTTATAAGTTAGGATACTTAGTTGTGCTCCGCGATTCTAGTCCTAGGTCTGTGGTCGGGTGCGGTATCCGAGGCATGCTGAGTCTTGTAGCACCGATTCCGAAGTGCGGCTGTCACATCCGGCGATTGTTCAGCACGCTAGAGGCGCGCGGCTTCAATATCCGACGTAAACTTGAGCCTTCTCTTCTCCGCACACAGATGGCGCCCCATGGGGAATTCCCCAGAGGTTTTCCATCGGCGCCATCGAAGTCTGGAGTTGGCCACGCTACCGGGTCTATAAGAACCTCACTGGTTACAACTGCATGGAAGTATCTCAAGTCAAACTTCCCATCTGACAAAGAGACCACCCCAGCTTACGACGACTACACTTACGGTGCAACCGTTTACCATGTCTGAGTCAATCGAAAAGCGCGGCATCGAGATGGTTGAGGAGGCAAGCGAGAAACCCGATGGTGGTCTGGTTGTAACCTACCATATCGATCCCAAAGATGAGAAAGCTGTTTTGAGGAAGCTTGATCGTGTCATTCTTCCTCTCATGGCTCTAGTATACTTCTTCCAATGTAGGCTCCTCCTCTGATTCTGACCAGACCTATTCTAACATGACGAACAGACCTCGACAAGCAAAGTATCAACTATGCTGCAGTCTTTGGCCTCGAGGAAGACCTGAAACTGTCTGGTTCGGAGTTCTCATGGGCCATCTCCATCTTCTACTTTGGTCAATTCGTGTCTGAGTACCCTGCGGCGTACTTGATGAGTAGATTTCCCATCACATTATTCGTCGGGATCACCGTGATTCTTTGGGGTATCGCAGAGATGTGCCTGGGCGCCACCACTAACTGGACAACAATCGCCGTCGCCCGTTTCTTCCTCGGCCTGACTGAAGGTGCAGTGGCACCGTCTTTCATGATCATCACGAGTGGCTGGTACAAGCGTAGCGAGCACCCGATCCGCATCGCGTAAGGCTCTTCAACACTCTATTTGTTACGCCCACTAATATGCGTATAGCACGTGGGTTTCTATGTTCGGTATATCGCAGATAGTCGGCGGTACTATGATGTACGGGATTGGCAATGGAAACCTCGCCTTGGCATCCTGGAGAGTGCTTTTCCTGATCTGTGGTGGGCTCACAGTTGCCTGCGGTGTCCTCTTCGTCAGCTTCATGCCACGGAGCACAACGACCGCATGGTTCCTCACCGAGCATGAACGCGCTATCGCCACCGAACGTCTTGCTGTCGATCGTGCGACACGAGATAGGTCTTCCTTTGACACCGCCCAGTTGAAGGAAGCGTTCATCGACCCACGCACTTGGCTCTATGCGCTCATGGCTCTCTGCATCACCCTACCAACTCCTATTGTGAAGTTCTCATCCCTCGTCATCAAGGGGTTCGGGTTTACCTCTTTCCGCACTATGCTGGTTGGATTACCATCGGGCGGAGTTTCTTTCGTATTGGTGTGGATTGGTGCCCTCGGACCCACCTTTTTTCCCAACTCCCGTTGGCTGGTCGGTATCTTCGTTGCATTGATGCCTTTGATGGGTACCCTACTCCTCCTCCTGTTACCAGCTAGTAACAACTGGGGCATTGTCGTCGCCACGTGGTTTGCTGGTTCCACGGCGCCCCCACTGAGTGTTGCTGTGGGTCTCATGGCTTCGAACGTCAAGGGAAACACCAAGAAATCGGTAGTGAGCGCCATCTTCTTCGTGTTTTACACTGTTGGTTGCATCACCGGACCTCAACTATGGCAGAAGAAGGACGCGCCCCGTTATACTAAGGGATGCATCACCAGTGTAGTCGCCTGGTGTGCTTTGGTTGTTCTCTTTGTAGTCCATTACTTTACAGCGAAAGCGAGCAACAGGAAGAGAGATGCAGCAACGGGAGACATCTCTGTCCACCAGGATGGAGACTCAGATCAAGTCGGCGTGAGTGTCGATTCGGACCTTACGGAATGGCAGGATACTCTCTTCCGGTATAGCTACTAATTGCGCGCTCTCAACCTATCGTGTATGCCGCGGTGGCTCACCGGAGTTCGAGAAGGGCCTACTCGTAGGTATTAGCTATACATCTGTAGGTAAAAGAAGGCATCCCCTTAGGGAAGAAATCTGTAGCACAGAATAATCATCATGAAACTGTTGCATGTGCAGCAAATAAGAGGCTGCACTATCTAATGCCCATTTTGACATCTCTTAATCCCGCCACTGAGCCCCCACCCACCTCGGCACGCTTTTCTCCGATACATGGGCCATTGTTGTGTGATAGTAAAACAGCGAGAAAGGATCTATGCTTCGCTCGAAGTTTGAGTAAATGTTGTGCGTTTCGACACGGCAAGTTAGGAGAAGCGCTGAGAGATCCATCCCAACCTCGACCCGATCGATTTGCGAGGGGGGCGCGATGACGTCATCTGAAACTACCGGCCTCCTTCCATTTCACATTATGCACAACATTGCATCCTAGACGACCTAGTGATTTTTCATGGTTTCAAGCCTCTATCCAAGAACAAGACCAAGGATTTTCGTCGCGACGCGATTCATGTTACCTAGATGCACATCGCGTGGCTTGACACCCTTCTCATCAACATCACCTCGGACAGCATCTTAACGCGATCAAAACCACCGGTTGTAAGCACAATCAGGCAGTCATTGTGTACGACGCGAAACAAATGACTCATACACATGGTATTGGTTATATGTTCGTGAGAGCTATATGCGCTACACGAAGAGTGCGTAATTAGATCTAGTGCGCTCGTACTTGAGATAACGTTGAGCTTGATAAAGCCAGCATGACTTAGTACGCCGACGTCGTCGCCGGATAGATAGGCGAAGGGAAGGCCTGGAGCATGGACGACGTAATCGGAACAAATGAGTTCGTGTGTGTTGCGTTCGCCGGGCCAGACGAAGTCAGGTTAACAGTAACTTTCTCCTCGCCTGTTGCGATGTCGTAGTGGTAGAGAGTACGGTTGAAGTAAGCCAGCGCGGCAACAGCTATAGTTTTTATGTCAGCGAATTGCATCATGTGACTCAAATGTCTCGGGCGAAGATAGTAAAACAAACTCACGCTGGTAGTAAGGAACTTCATGACCTGACTCGTAGACGCGCGCAAAGCTGAAGTTGCCATACTGGCGAACCTCACCGTATTCGGTGCCATCTACAACCATGGCCTCGTAGCCTGCGGCGCGGAACTCCTTACTGTGAGTGTACTCCATTGCTAGGCTGATGGCTTCACCACCAAACCAGTTGCCTAACCATGTTAGTAGACTTCATACTATTGGTATCAATTGTGAATCTTACAGATATAGTCAGCATCGCCATACGCCAGGCTGACGCGCACATCCTGGCTTAGCAAGTACTCCAGATCGAGCCGGAAGTTCGGGTAGATGAAGTCTCCGGTGTTTTGGAAAGCATAGTAGATTCCGTTGCTCCCAGAGTAGTTGAGTGTGACACCGAGAGCATCCTGTACTTCTCCAAGGTTGAGGTAACCGGGGTAGTTGGAAGGCGGTGTCGGGTCTTCGTATGTGTGTCGGATGTCGTAGACTCCACGGCCAGAGTAGTAGTAGTAAGGAGATTCGACGTTGTCACGGCACATGTCTGCTGCTTCGTTGCAGATCTGCATCTCACCGGGTGTCAACTCGGCCTCGGTGATCTTTGCATCAGCGTGGTAGTAAGTGGTGTTGCCTTCAGCGGCAGCTCGGCAGAGAGCTATCTGGTAGAGACAACCGTTGTACATGTTGTTCGCGAACTTGGCGTACGAGTAGACAGTGTCGTTGTATGCCTTGATGCCATAAGTATTGTTAACGGCGAACTCCGGGTAGTGTTCAGCCTGGACAGATTCGTCGATGATACCGTTGATTATGCCGAGAGAGTTGAAGTTGAGTGGGTAACCAGGCATACTTCCGTTCTCAATCTTAAGGTTCTGGTTGTAGAAGTAGCTGAAGAAGGCCGGGCCGTAGTGACCGCCGTATGACTCAGTAAAGAGGTTGAAGTCTCTTGCTGCATCCAAGTCTCCAAGCTTCGCATCAAACTTTGGGATGGTGGCCAATAGTGCTTGGAATACGTGCTACGTGTCGGGCGAGGTTAGCTGATAGTGTAAGCGTTTTTCATCAGATTCTTACTCACCCAAACGGCAACAGCAGCAAGATCCGTAGTATCAATCGTACCAGTGTTCAAGGGTTCCAACAGCGGCCATCGACCTGTAGCAGGCCACTCGCTAGAGTTGTAGTGGAAGTCTTCAGAGAACGAGTTGAAACTTCCAACACCTTGCTTCTGGTAGCTGAAACCTGTTCCGACGGGTTGCGAGATGTACAGCATGTTGGAGACATTGTTCCAGCTGTAAGGGTTATATACTGCTGTGAGGTTGTCATCGATCATGCAAGGTCCGTTCTCCTCGAACAGGCCAATGAGCGAATCTGAGCCAGGTCCTCCATTCAACCATAGGGTGAATGGGTCGGATGCAGGATTGTTGCGAGACTCGAAAAACCAGAAGAAGACGTGGACCTATAGAACGTTAGAAGCAGGCCTTAAAGTTGTAAATGGAAACGATACATACATCAGGTGTCAGGTCGACATATCCAGAGTAGCTGTCCACGCCTGGGGTGGTCTCACAGATACCAGGGTTCTTGTATCGAATGGTGACATTGTTCGGAGCTGTAGCAGTCTTGTAGTCACTAGTCTCTTTTGGCAGGTACAAATGATCGCTCCGCTTGCTCCATTGCTTATGAGAGACAGCAGTAGCCTGTAAGGCGAGGCTGGAAAGCGCCAATAGAGGCGTTGCTACTGATCTGGTGAGCATGGTGACTGCAGCAAACAAATAGCGCAAGAGCGATGGGGAACTATAGGAGCGACATACCCAAGCATATTTAAGCAGTCTTGGAAAAGGCTTGTCAAAGCTTGTCATATACGCGCGTTGGGATCACTATCTTGACTTATGCGGGGGTTATCGAATCAAAGTGACTCGCACGTCCGACAATAGTTTTGCTCCTGCCTCAACGGGTTTAGATGCTTCGTACAGCACCAGTACCATGCTGTATAGAGTATACAATTTAACCGGCTCGAGCGCACGACGTTATTCCCGATGACAAGTCGCTATGAGTAGTGCAAGATTTTTGCGGACTTTTCGTCAGCCTGCATGGGCAGTCGGATAACAAACAAATCTGGTGGTAGACTCTGCATGAAAACGGTTGCTCTCACTCTCAGTCGTAGTCTAGTCTATATCTACCTAAGCGCGTTTACTGATATGCACGATGCATCTTCAAAGCTTCCTCTGATCACATAGCGCAGACGTACCTTGATGACTTTTTCTCTATGCATTATCGAAAACAACCACGTCTTCGCTAATAGACCGCATGCTCATGAACGTACAAATCCTCCGTCTGATTAGAAGTGGACAGAGCTAGCTGTTGACTGGTCGGACTTCTCTAAGATGTGGCCACGCTCTAGTTTACGGTGAGCGGAATGTTGAGTCTCTCTTTCTTCTCATAACAGGTTCTCCTTACTGCTCCTCCCAGGTCAGGTTGAACCGTCCAGGTGCATTTTCGTACTCCTTCAAACATGTCAAGACCTCATCAGCGCTAAGAGCCTCGGAGAGAATGCCAGCATTGGTGGGCGCGATGAAGCCGTTGCTCACAGCGTTCTTGACCCACTCAATGAGCCCACTCCAGTAGCCGTCCACGTTGTACACGATTACAGGCATACTGTGGATGCCCAGCTGATTCCAGGTAGTGACCTCCATCAGCTCCTCAAATGTTCCGTAGCCGCCAGGTAGAGCAACAAAGCCACCACCTGGTCCTCCCTTGACGACTTCCTGAGCCATCATCTGCTTTCGCGTATGCATGTCCTTGACAACAGTAGTGCGTCCATATATCGCCGAGTCGATGGAGTGGCCGGTAGGGTTGGTGGGGTCGTGGTTCTGCTCGAGTCGAGTGAGGGCGGCGGGGATGATGCCGTGAACAGAGTCGGGGCCGGACAGCGAAACGAGGGTTCGTGCTACCTCGCCCATGAGGCCAACAGTACCGCCACCATATACGAGCTTGGTGTTGGCTTTATGGAGGGCGTGCGCAAGCGACCTTGCTGCCTCCATGTGGACTGGCGATGTGCCACTAGAAGCGCCGCAACTGTATCGCGGTTAGTGAATGGATCGATTGACTGGTTCTTTCTTGTTCGACGTACAACACGGCGACCACGGGTTGCTTGGTGGAGCCATTGCTGGCTGTCGCGTCGTCGTTCGCCATCTTGAGTGAGTGGTTGATTGAGTAGTTGTGTGAGTGTTCGGAATGAGGGAACTAGTATCGGAACGAGGATGTCAGGAGCAATTGATGTGTTGAGGAGGGGCAGTGGCACAAGGTTGTAGAGAACGACTCAAGTAACCAAAGGTTTAGGCAGCAGTCCCATTACATAGGGCGTCAGGGTGAAGTCAGACTCCACACGATGGCCAATGCTTTCACCGACTCATCATTGCAATCCCTTGGAGGCCGGTAAACTCCAAAGAGTATGCTGTTCGGTAAGCTGCATGTCGTCACAGTCATTCGGGCCGGCATCTCGCTGGTCCATGTGGCTAGACCCTGAGCCGGGATAGACCAGCACGGACCCTCTACCAAGCACCAATTCCTCGGAAAGTCTCCAGGCTATCTGTTCAGACCTCATCGCGAGTCCATCTTCCCTCTCCACCTAGCAAGCTGCTCGAGACGGAATTCTAATTCCGCAAGTTGCCATCATGCCAGAGGCACAAGCAGCCGCCGCGCCGCCCGAGGAAGGCAAGAGTGTATGTTGCGAACAAGGCCCCTCCACTCTGAGATAATTAGCTAACGGCTTCATGATAGCTCCTCAAGTCGATCGCGCAAAGCGTAGGCATCTTTATGCTTATTCAGGGTGGCATGAAGTATCTCATGCCAAAGGCCCCTCAAACCACCCCCGCCGTCAACGACCCCGCGCAAACTGGCCCCGTCGCCGCTGTCAAACCGTCCGGCAATGTCGTGATTCCCGCATGGGAACAGCGGCCCCAATCTCTCGATCCGGGTGCTGCATGGAGCCCTGTTCCGTATGCCGTTGCGCCCATGTGGCCTGCTGGCATTGAGATGGACATCGCCATGTACATCTCCTCGTCTGTCGCAATGCCCCCACTCAAGTCGATGCCCAAGGAATCGTTGTTGATCGACGAGAAGAACTTCAAGTTTGGAGACTACAAAGACAATAGAGAGATACATACCGAGTTCAAAGTTCCGAGAGAGGTGCAGCACAATGCCACTCTACTTGCCCACTTCTATGTGGCGCAGAGTGGCAGTGTGCTCGATCCTATGCAGCCAGGCTATGACACCAGCAAGGCCTACCACTTCATCCGCCCGCTGTCCCAGTACCAGCCCAAGAAGAAGATCGCGAAGACGAGGAACTTGTTGAGCGATATGCCGGAAAGAGACGTTGTGGAGACCGAAGAGGAGAAGAACGCACCAAAGATTGTCGCTTCCTACTACCACCCTAACTTTACTGTCTCCTTGATCCCCGACGCGGGCACTATGCAGTACGCTGCCATGCATCCTGGCCCAAGGAGGTTCATTACAGTAGAGGCTACCGGTGCACGAGATGCGACTGGTCAGCACAGCTGGTACTATCCCATCGTCTTCACAAACACTTTCTGGCAGCTCAAGAAGCACATGATTGAGCTGAACGACACTGTCACAACCCTCCCGCTCAACGTGAAGCTCAACAATCTCGCCCACTGGAAGTACAACATCTTCGCAGCAGTCGACGAGAACCTCAACGCCAACGCCAGGGCCGCCGCTGCAGGCCAATCCACCCCCGGAGGTGGCGATGGCTCGGAGATGGAGATGTTCAAGGAGATCCTCATCGACAGCAACTCATACCTACTCGCTATTACTGCAGTCGTCTCCGTCTTCCACATGATCTTTGAGATGCTCGCCTTCAAGAACGACGTCCAGCACTGGCGCAAGAAGAAGGACAATGTTGGAACCTCGGTCCGCACGATCCTCGCAAACGTCTTTATGCAGGCTGTCATCTTCCTCTACCTCATCGATAACAATGAGAACACGTCCTACATGATCCTCTTCGGTCAGGGTATGGGCATGGCGATCGAGGCATGGAAGATTACCAAGTCAGTCAACGTGCGCATCCGCCAAACAGCGCCTGGCTCCTTACTCCCCTACACCATCGTATTCGAGGACAAGCACGTCCTCTCCGACACGGAGAAAAAGACGGAAGAATACGACGCCATCGCCTTCAAGTACCTCTACATGGTCGCCGTACCTCTCCTCATCGCCTACGCAATCTACTCTCTTATGTACGAAACACACAAGTCATGGTACTCCTTCATCATCACCACACTCGTCGGTTCTGTCTACGCCTACGGCTTCCTCATGATGGTCCCCGCTCTCTACATCAATTACCGTCTCCAGTCCGTCGCTCACATGCCCGGACGCGCCATGACATACAAGTTCCTCAACACCTTCATTGACGATCTCTTCGCTTTCACCATCAAGATGCCTACTCTGCATCGTCTGGCTACCCTCCGCGACGACGTCATCTTCTTCGTCTACTTGTTCCAGACCTGGAAGTACAAGGTCGATTACAACCGTATTAATGAGTTTGGACAGGGTGGTGACGATGAGGAGGTCGAGGAAAAGGATGCTAACAAGCCGTTGGCTGCGCATCCCGGTGGCGATAAGAGTCTGAAGGTTCCTGATGCTGAGAAGCTGGAGAAGGTCCAGAAGGAGAAGGCAGAAGGACAGGCGACGGGCAGTCAGAAGAAGAGTGGTGCTACCAAGAGGAAGTAGGGCTTTCTTCGAAGATGAGGCAGCGGGTCTCGTACACGAAGTTCGGTCGCTATACAATGTCGTTTAATCAAGTTACATCTATGAAAAAGAGAAGTCATTATCTATTTGAACACAACTCTTCTCTTCGTGATATGTTGTTTGTTTTCGATTGTCCAGAATTGTGCAAGATCAATTTACAAAAGGCAGGTTATTGCCAGAATGCTTGGTTCTCCTTTTCTGCTGCTCACCACAACCCCGTTAGACGTGAGTTGGATGTGTGTATAAAGCTCAGTTACGGTGTGAGATATAAAAACACAGAGCGAGGATTGGTCGAAGATAGCACTTTTCATTATGAGGCCAATGGCTAAGGTAGATATACTAAAGATATTATCGCCGAAGCGTGAATGTGAACGATTGTAGCCGTACATTTCACTGGCTGAACTGGGAAGCCCTTGGGATATCTTCGGCCCCACCGAGTGCCAGCGTTGGATTGGAAGATTCGCAATCACAGCCTCAACGCCTTGCAATGCTTTTGAACAGATGAAGCAAGTGGTCCACCATAGATGTACTTTACCGCACTAACGATGATGCTCATAACGTATTTGTAAAAGAGGAAAACCGGAAAGACCCGCACCGAAAGCCTACCATCCCTGGGGGGCTAATCGGTTGGAAAATAGTTGTGTACAGGAAAGTGATTTAGATCAAAGTGCCGGCACAATTACTGTGTTAAAAGCGAGTCATCCCTGTGGGAGTCATGAAAATCCTGGGAGCTGGAAGCCGAAGCCAGGAACCGCGGGTGGGACAGCAACTCCTTGTTCAGGTCGGGGCGAGATGTGGCGTGGATCATTGACGGGACGATGGTCTTGCTTGCGGAACTTCGGGGCACCGTTGTTGTCGAAACCGCCACGTCCGCCAGCGAAGTCGTTGCGTCCGAAGTCTGCACGCTCATTGAAGTCATTTCGTCCGTTGGAGTTACCACGTCCGCCGTGATCTCCACGCGCGTTGAAGTCACCTCGGTTACCGAACCCTC